CCCATTTACTCCCACGGCTTCCCGTACGCGATGTCGGGATGCTCGGGAAACGAGCACGGTCCCCTCTTCTTCTTCCATTGACTTGGGTCTCCCTTGTTGGCCACTACGGTAGCGACATCACCCTTCCTGGACTCGCTGCCGCCGTTACCTCCTCCTCCCTCAGACTCGTCGAGGGATAACTTCTCTACGGTATCATCGCCGAAGACTACAAGCATGTGGTCCTGGCGCTTTTGCCACCACAAAACCTTTTTCCCATACGCACCTACCGGACCACTCTTTACAACAGACGTATACGCCCCCTTTACCTGTGTTGTCATGTGCTCCCTTTGGAGCGAGAGGTCACGAAACTGTCAGTAGTTGTACAACTTGTACTTACCGGATTTGGCTTCAGCCACGAGATGACCTCGAATGGGTTCAGGCAATGCACGCGAGAAGATATAAAGGACTTGATTGTCCTGCAGGTTCAACCCCTGTACCTGCAACAACCTATCAAGTTCGCGTGACGGTGCATCCACAGAGGTCTAACGCTTTTGACCGATCGTGGTGAGCTCGTCGAAGGCCTTATCAGCCATTGTCTTATCCAAGAATCTCTCCTTAATCTTCTGGATAAATTCTCGGAGAGTCGGGGTCTTTGCCCACTCACCAATATCCTCGAAGCCAGCAGCATTGGCCTCGGACAATACCCATTCCTTGGTTGTCTCGCCAAGACAAAACGTCGAAAAAGCCACTTGGCTTTCTGGCTCTACCGGCGCAGTACTGCAGTATGTCTGGATTTCTGCAATCCAGAGCAATAAGTGCTCGCCCCTCTTTCCGTTATAAGTAAAGGGAAGTTTCATTTTAACCTTTTCTTTCCTTTTCGATTTTTCTGCTTCCTTAGTTGGTTCTTCTCTCTTGGCTTGTTCTTCTTTATTCTCGAATGACTTCTCAGATTCCTTCTTGGAACCTTCGAGTCTCTCCTATGTTACCTTCTTCATTGCATCCTTTATTAATTTTTACTGGGGTTCTTTCTTGACTTCCTCCCCCTTGGTCTCCTCTTAAATCCTGACCTTGTCCTTTCCTTTTATAAGTCTAGTCAATGTCTCCAATGAGGCAGTGTTACTATCTATTTTCTTTTCGAGGTGGACGAGATAGACCATTATAGACTGCAGAATGGATGCAAGTTCAGTACCGGCTTCTTCATAGTGAAATCTCTGCATAAGTTCATCCATCATCCTCTCTTCTTCTTCTTGCTTTTCTTGCTTTCTCCGGAATTCCTCAATCTTCCTTCTTTCTTCTTGCAGTGTGTTTTCTAATTGCCTGACGTTTTCCTCCATTATCTCTACAGACAGCTTTGGTTCCACCTTCTTTGCTTTCTTCTCTTCTTCCCTTTGTTTTCTTCTTTGGTCCATCTTCTCAAAGTTCTCGGTGACATAACGGTCAAGGGCCATTCGCCCTTGCTTGATGAGTTCCTCAACTCTCTTTCCGGTTTCCAGCATCTCAACTATTGTCTTTGCATTCTCCAGTTTACCTTCTGCAGCGCGCAGATTGAACTCTCCATGCACCAACCGTTCAGCTTCTGGCCTGGCACCGTGTATTTCGCCGAGTAACTGGCGAAGAAGGCCTATCAGAGTCTGCCTTCTCACATCAATCTGACCACGCGTCTCGAGTTCCCCCCCTTCTTCATCGGCATAGACGGTGAGAGGGATGGGAAAGAAGAAAAAAGGTATGAACCGATTGAGAATGGAGACACGCAGACATTTCCAAAGATAAGTAATTTTTCCCAGTGTGTGAATGCCGCACAATAAATAGTTTTAAAGACAAAAATAAATTCCACAGCCACACGCAATTTCCTTGAGCACGAAATAATCTCGGCAGAAAAGAAGAAACAGATTCTCAATAGTTTTCTACTTCTAACTTTGCTGCTTGTTCTATGTGTGATGACGTCCTACAGAAAGTGTATAGGTACGGCAGCCACGATCAATGTGATCAAGACAACAACACACAGGTGAGTATGCACAGCAACCATAGAACAGCCAATCAGGTGAGTAGGTCAGCCAACACAACCAACAGCAATCAAGGGTCAACCTTCCTTCCTCTACATTTGTACCATCTGTAAAACCCATGCAACCAGACACAAGGGCCGACACGTGACAGTACAGCAAATGGTAAAGTCGTACCGTTTGCTAGCACACAAGTGCACAATCAACACCTCATCCACAGCAGCATGCCATGCATGCCACGTGTCACCCCTGGAATGCCAATACAGCAGCTCTATAGAGTCTGCCACGTCAGCGTCAACCGTCGTCAAGGACCTGGAAGGTCTACGAGGGGGATGCCACATCAGCAATGTACGGTCTGCAACACATACAACACTGGTATGCCACGTCAGCTCAAAGTATGCAGCGCTTCATCAGCAGGCAATCGCAAAACAGGTACGTGCCACATCAGACCATGCCCTGGCAGTAGAGTGCCACATCATCCCTACGCCATGCCACGTAGGCAGCGAGCCACATCAGCGGTCCCAATATCCACACTCTCTCTCTCTCTCTTGACCAGCGCCACGTCAGTCTGTTGCCAACGATGCTCTCGCCGGTATCCCAATTTCTTCAGTGTGTCCACGTCATCACCTTCAAGGGAGGCTGCACGCACGTGCGGTACTCATGCAATCAGACTCGACTTATTCACACTTTTCATGCACGTGAACAGCAGAACAGCAAACTGGCGACATGCGCCCACACCGTACTCAGAGATATCGTAACCAGATAAGAGTTCTCGAGTTCTCTTGTAATTGGCTATGGCGGCTGTGCGCCCAAACACCTCGCTGCTCACACTCTGGATCACCCTGGATGTCCCACACGCAACACTCTGTACTTACACGCGACACACACACATGCACTACTACAGCTATGGCAGCGCTAGCTGCCACTACCCTATCGCTACACTACACTTCTCTGCCCACTTCGTCTTCGGGCACACTGCAGACCTCCTCGCACAAGCTGCTGAGGCAGCGCTTCCGCATGGCATCCGCAGGAATGAATGAATGGCTGGACGCAGCCTCTTGATTTATACTTCTGCACTGCATTGGTCTGCCCCGTATCCCTTGGCCCACGAGGTGCACAGTCCCAGACGGTACTTGCTTGACTGGACCGGACTGGACTAACTGGGACTGCTGACCGGACTAGGTGGACTACCACCACTTGACCACTTGCCTCTGCTGAGTGCAGGCTAATTCCGAAAGGCCACTTCTAGAAGTCTCTAACTTGGCCTTTCGGTACTGTAGCAGCTACAACTTTGCCCTTTCAGGTAAGTAGCGGCTACGACCTTGACTCTTCAAACAACCTACAGCTACGACCTCTGAGCTGTTTAGACTCCTACCCTACAAGTCTACAGTTCGAATCCCTCCTACCCTGTGTCCTACGAAAGTCTACCTACCACTGATGATCCTCCAGGTCGCAGGTTCAAAGCTACGGGTTGACATCAATACTGTACACAGGTAAGACGGGGACTAGGGATCGAACCCTGGGATCTGCATTCGCTACTGCGAACTGGTGAATACCGTTTCACTCCCGCCGGCCTAAATTCGAGGTCCTCCGAGAAAATTTCAGTCCAAGGCAGGACCTTTACCCTTCTGYYGTCTCTCGTAGGCCCRGACKATATCGGGAGCTGTCTCTAGAAGTTCCGATCTTGTAAACCAGCGGTCGTCTTCCRGYTCCTGATAACYAAAATGAACCTTATACTGTTTYTGCGGACGACCCCTACSTCCAGTTCTGAAGAYATCTTCAGCSACTATACCATCTWTGTCATATCTTCCATCCATATCAGGYGGGATCATCGATCTACGGGATGGAAACTGATCACTTGTTTGACAAGGTAATAACTTTGATGCGTGGAAAACTGGATACGTGTGGAGGTGTGCTGGTAGTTCTATTGTATAGGACGGTCCATCTTCGCCGCCCTTGACTTCCAGAACAGGCCACGGTCCTCTATATGTGGGCAGTAACTTCTACGAGATGTTCTCCTCAGGCGCAAATTCTTTAGAACTGACCCAGACTAAGTCGCCTACTTGAAACTATGAAGGGCGACGATGTTTGTTCGCTTGCTCTATCATTCTATGCTGGGCTTTCCTGAGGTTCTCTACAATAGTAGCTAGTTCTTTCTCGTGCTGCACAGCAAACTCCCTGGTCCCGGGCGGCAATCTATGAATCTGATCCCGGTTGAGTCCCTCAAACGGTCGGCGCGACCTTCTCTGAAGGCATCCTGGCGGACATGAACTCTACGGGTCTATACCCATTGCCATCGTCTTGCTGCAACACTGCACCTATGCCGTATTGACTCGCATCAGTCGTGATGACAAAGGGCAAGGACGGGTCGGCGACTTTAAGAACTGGATACTCTATCAATGCTTGCTTTAACTTCTTCATGGCAGACGTGCAGTCCTTATCCCACTTCCAGATGGTCTCCTTTCTCAGCAATTTGCGAAGGGGCGCAGCGATGGTGGAGAAGTTCCTCACGAACTTCCTATAGTAATTAGCTAGGCCCAGGAACGAGCGCAATTTTGTCAGCGTACGTGGTGTGGGCCAATCTCTAATCGCTGCGATCTTGCTATCCTCTGGCTTAACGCCGTCTCCGTCTAAGACGTGGCCTAGGTACAGAACTTGGGTCTTTGCCCAATCGCACTTCTTTGCATTGATCTTAAAGTTAGCTTCCCTCAGCTTCTCCAAGACCTGCCTGAGATGACCCTGATGCTCTTCGAGGGTCCTGCTAAACACTAGAATGTCATCTAGATAAACTACAACAAATCTGTCTAACCACGGCCTAAACAAATCGTTCATACAATGCTGGAACGTAGCTGGCGCATTGGTTAGTCCAAAGGGCATCACTATGAACTCGTAGTGCCCATATCTAGTCCGGAAGGCTGTCTTGTACTGATCATCAGGATGCACCTCTATCTGATGATATCCGGACTTCAAATCTATCTTGGAGAACTACTTCGCCCCCTGCACTCGATCCAAGAGATCGTCTATCCTAGGCAATGGCTCAACATTCTTCACTGTAATGGCATTCAGACCTCTATAGTCTATACACATCCTCAGCTCTCCCTCTTTCTAAGGGACAAAGAGAGCAGGGGCTCCAAAAGGAGATGAACTGGGCCTAATCCAACCCTTTTCAAGGAGCTCGTCCAACTGCTTCCACAGCTCCTCTAACTCCCGCGGGGACATCCTATACACAGCACCCTTAGGAGTTCTACTGCCAGGCTCTATCTCAATACGGTGTTGGATGGACCGCGACACCGTGCCTGTCGGCGGCTCAGTTAAATCCTTAAACTCTTCCAGCAATTTGGCAATAGCAGGGTCTACGGGCTTCTTTTCCTTAGGCTCAGTGACTGGCCTAACATAGGCAACAAAGACCTGTTCCTCTAAGTGCTCCTTCTTCACTAATCTGACTAACGCAGGAGCACTGAGGCAGCAATGTGCCAATGAATTCTCTACTCCTGACGCATGGAACAGGCGGGCAGTCTTAGCCTCGCCTGCAGCACTAGGGAGCCTACACTCGTGCTCCTTCAAATGGAGCGTGGCCCCAGCTGCCTCTCCCCAATCCATTCCTAGCACAATATCAAACGGGAGGCTGTCCTCTACGAGGAGAGTCAGGGAGTGGAGGACCTTCTCCACCTTCCCATCTTTCTCTAGGCGGAAATACGCCTGGACTCCCTCKACGTAATTCTCTACAACCATCGTATGATTGTCCGCGAGGATACTAACTATGGGGTGTGTCAGTTTCTGGACTTTAAGTCCCAACCTCAACTTCTGCAGCGCTTTCTTACTAATATAGCTGCGGGTGGCCCCTRAGTCTACTAGGGCCCCTACTCTACTTCTAAAAATCTCTGCATCTAATAAAATCAGCTGCCCTTTATTCTCCTTCTTCATCTTGGCCCAGGCGGGCCTCCTCTCCTTCAACTCTTCGGCCACGCCTGTGAGGNTCTTCATCTTGGCCCAGGCGGGCCTCCTCTCCTTCAACTCTTCGGCCACGCCTGTGAGGGAGGTGTCTAGCGAAACTCTAACACAAGCAGTTTCGGGACAGCTGTCTAGACACCGGCCTGCAACCTCTGCTGTAGGCACATGTGGTGTGGGAGTCTCCTGCCGGCTAGCGCTATGTTCCCCACATGGCCTAGTGGTAGGGGCAGTTGCTACCCCTACCGGTGGCTGCCTTTTGGCCCTTGGGCAGCCGTTCGGGTCTCTTGATACTTAGGACAGTATTTGATGATGTGGCCCGGGTCACCGCAGAAAATGCACTGCCCCCGGTCCAATCGTTGTTGCCATAAAGTCTGCTCCAGACCCAAAGTTTCCCAAGGCCTACCCTGCGGTAGCCCCGGATGCCATCCTCCTACCCTATAGGGAGACCTGTTCCTAGGACGGTTTTGCGGGGGACCTTGACCCCTGCCTCCCGCTTGGTGGTTTCCTCCTCGGCCGCCAACCCCCTGATCGCCCTGGAACCGGCTCCCTGAGGCCCGACCCCCTTGGCCCTGTCCTCGTCCTCCTTGCGGCCTCCCTCCAGCCGCGGCAGCAGCGTAAGTCCTCCCCTGGCCCACACTACTGTCCCCCTCCTCGAACCCCCACTTAATCTGATCGTAGGGGATCTCGTCCACCCTACCCTCATCTAAGGTCAGGACAAGGCTATCCTTAGTCTTCACTTGCCCAGAAATAGTGCGGCCCTTCCATTGCTTTCCCTTATCCAAGTCTTTGTGCCAGAAGGTGGACACAGATGCAGACGTGGCTTCAAAAGCCACTACTTCACGACTAAGAGAATCATACGTAGTGGCAGGGTCTTTGCTCTTTGCGAAGAAATGCCCCCGAAGGGCTTCGGGTATGGCCCGATAGAAGAGGCTGACCAACTGGGTGTCCGTAACCCCATGGTCAGGGACAGCCACTAGCTCATCCATTGTACTCTTGAGTGCCCTGGCACTCTTCCACTTGCAGGCGTGGATCGTCTGCAGCCTATCTGACGCTTTAACACTACGAGCGACATCGACAAATCGCTCGCGCAACAATTTCAGGAACTCAACGAGGGGGGTGAATGTGGAGTATGCAACTGGATCGTCACTGCAGTTGGCAACACGAACAAGGGACCTTGCAAACCTAGTGGCCTCATCCTTAAGCGCGTGGATCGCAATTAGGACCTGCTGATCCCGGGAGACCTGTTGCAGATGCACATAGGTCCTGACATTGGCCTCCCAATTGTCAAAGTTCTCTTCCCTTTTTCCACTGTAGGAATTAGGGAATTTGACTTTGACTGGCTCCCTGCGAGGACGAGTTTCCTCCTCCTTGGGAGCTGCCACCTTGACGCCCTCAATGGCGCCGACACAAAAACGCTCAGTCTTCTCGAGGCGGTGACTTACCTCGGACCCCACAGCGCCTACTAATTCGCGAGCAAAGTCCCGTAATCTCATTCGCATCGAACGCACAGATATCTCCTGGCTGCGACTAAATTCATAGTGCTTTTCTTGCACCTTGGCTAATTGCTCGACGCTCTGGGCGATGATCTCCACCTTCCGCTCGAGATCTACCTGGGGTGTCAATTGTAACCTCAATTTTTGCACCTCCTCCAATTCCTGTATTGCTGCATTCGCCGCCTCCACTCTTCTCTTCTTCTCCGTCATCATCGCGAGCTTCCACGCCATCCTCTGTTCATCCTCCATCGCCCGCCGCGTCAGAACACCTTCCTCTGCTTCCCATTTTTTCATGGCGGCTTCTTGCTCATCCTTGGGGATGTACATAGCAACCTCTTCCTCTTCACCCAAGGACAAGTTGGCGACCCATTCTGAAATCCGCTTCTCCATCTCTTCATCCTTGCTGCCACTGTGCTGCCCACTCTTCTTTTGCAGTGGCGGTCCTTCCTCCTCTTCCTCGTCCACCTCTTTCAACTTCGCCTCCTCTTCCTTCTTTATTCTCTCCTTCTCCCTGGCCATCTCTTCTTCTATCTTCTTCAATTTGGCCGCCTGCTCCTCCTTCAAGGCCTTCTTCTTGGCCTCCTTCTTCTCCTTCCTCTCTTGCAGAATGGCGGCCATCTTCTCCTCCTCTTCCTTTGAATATGGCTTGGTGGAAGTACCACCCCGTGTGTCTACTCTACACGTCATCGCGTGCCAAAACCCTAGAGGAAAGAGGAGGCGCCAGAGGGTCCCCCAGAGAGAGAACCCAACTAGCAACCCATACATCGGATAGTCGTCCATCGTGGTGGTAGGTGCACAACAAGAGTCCCGCTCCTCACCACTTAGACCTACCCGGACACACTAACCTACTGACTGACTCTCTAAGATCCACTACTCACAACTACTCTAAGGCTGTCACTACTGAACTAACAGCTGATCAGGAGGCATTTAAGGAGATCCCCCAAACTCCTCAAGAATTCTTTAACGTCGCAGTCAGGACGACGTGATCAGCGTAGTTCTTCCTGACGATTTCAGCCCACAACTCAGCCGTTCCGGCCTACTGTGCCACACCGAGCAGCCCGCCGGTCTGTACCGGTCCTTGGAGGGGTTCGTATCCCTCGGGACAGTCGAGTCGTCAGACACAGATCATCAGCCTTACTAGGTTCGGTAGGGGAGTGGTTCAACCAGGCCTCAACACTTAAAGACGGCCTTTGTTTCAGCCCACAGCTCGGAGTTCGGAACCTCTACACTGAACTCAGTAGACCTGCCGGACAGTACCGGTCATTAGGCTAGACGAGTTGTTTAACGAGCGCTCGCCGCTCATGCCCAGGTCTCCAGATGCCAGAGTAGAGGTTAGTCCTACTAAGTCCCATATAGGTTTGGCAGCAAGGCCCTATCCTTCATCCACAGAGAGCTATCACCTAAGACAGAAGAGACTCAATGCAGAAAGGAAAGACAGACAGACTCAAACTCAGCAAGTACCGTGGGGTAAGTGCACATCCACAGGGTAAGGGGATAGGCTAAGGGCTCAGCAAGATATCACCAACTCCAGCTTGGTCAAAATCTTGGTCAGCAGCTCCGGTCAACACCTTGGTCAACGCGGGCAACCCCCAGTCAACGCTTGGTCAACCACCTTGGTCAACGCCTAGTCAACCCTTTGGTCAACCCTTGGTCAACCCTCTGGTCAACGGTCTGGTCAACGCCTCACCTCGGCTATGGCTGCCGGCACCTCCACCTTCGTCACCCTCGTCGTCTACTTCCCCTTCCTTCACTTTCTTTCTTTTTCTCCTTAGTCCCTCCTTCTCTGTCCACCCTTTTTCTCTCCTCCGGTACTCTGTGTTAATGCTCCGCAGCTATGGCCGCTGTCTTCCTTCTCCACCGGACTCCACAATTCGCCTTTCAAGTAAGTGACAACCAATCTTGGATCGCTCATCTCTCTCTCTCTCTCTCTCTCTCTCTCTCTCTCTCTCTCTCTCTCTCTCTCTCTCTCTCTCTCTCTCTCC